ATGATAAAACATTTGAAATGCTGATTTGTTGATTCAGTATCATAGGACATAGATTCGTTATTATCCCTTTTTTGTATATACACGTGTAGTACCAAATTGATCAGCAACACAATATGATGTGTTGTATGAAAAGTTAGTTTTTTTTTACAAATTTCATTCCTCCCTTGTTAATACTTAATATTCAGATTTCTATAGTCAAGGCTTTCCTACAAGGTTTATAATTTCATGATAATTTTTTGCATTATTTTATTATTTACTAGCCTAATATCAGAAATTAGAATTGAAAAATGCTATCATAAATATCGAATAAAATTATCATGATTATTAATGCTTTATAAAAAAAAGTAATTCGAATCTTATATATTGGCGTGACGGAAATTAAAGAAAAAAACTAACTATATAAAGGCATTTGAAGAGAAATCTGTTTTTTTTTTCATTTCAACTAATATTACTAACATATGCTTCGCGAAATAGATTTTAATTCTAACAATAAAGAGCTTCACATTATCTATACTGTACCTCTATCTGTACCCCTATTAGAAGAAATAAATGTCGTGTTATTATACAACTAAATAGATAGCAGTGATAAAAAAAAAAAAAAAAATTACGTATATTTGGGTATATATATTTTTTTAAAATTTTTTAAACATTGTAACATTTAATTTATTTCGTACATTTGTTTGTTTTCTGATTCGATACTGGTTTAGATGATTTATTTTAAATCCCAGACAATAATAAACTAAAAAAAATATAATAATCATATGATTTTAAATCTAAGCCGATATTTCCTTAATTTGTAATGAAAGAGGTTATAACAACTTTTTCTAGTTGTATAAAATAAGTAGTATAAATAAATAAAGCTATCTATTATCGGACATGATTTTATATCATGCACGTGATTAACTCATAGTTTACTCGGTATATTTCATTTCTATTCTCCTTTTTTTAGCCCTAATTCACCTTCAACATCCCATAAATTCATTTCGACCATTTTGGTAATAGGATGTTGATATCCATGAGTAATTTCTAACCCTTTTAAAGCTTCCCTTAATAATTCATCGATTTTTTCTAGATCTTTAACTTTAATATCATTATAATCAAATGATAAATAAATCCTTGCAGTAGAATATATTTGTAAACTTAAAAGTGGATGTGATTTACTATATAAAATTCTATAAGATTCTATTAATTTTAATGAATGATCTAATGCTTTCTTCCAATCCTTTAAATTACAATATATTTCAACTAATGTTTTACGAGTTCTTATCATATTATAATTTGCTTCATATAAAAGTTCTTGTTGAATTTTAAATGTTTGTTCAAAGAATGTTACTGCTTGTCGATCATCTAATATCCGATTGTAATTTGATTGTTAATACTTTAAATCGTATAAAATAATTAAATTAGATAATTTTACCTTGATCGCGTAATTCTGTTCCTTTATCAAAAAATTCTAAGGCCACTGATAACCTTTTCTCTACATCCGCTACATCATAATGTATCTCCTTTGAACAAACTGAACATGTTGATGTATATTCTTCAACTCCTAATTCTAATGATTCTATAAAAAAAAAGGTGGTAATTTCTTTTGTTAACAAAGTGATTTTGTTTTTTTAAAAAAAGTGATTTTTTTTGAGATTTTGTTTTTAAAAGTGATGTTTTTAAAAAAAGTGATTTTTTTAAAGTGAATTTTTTTTTTTAAAAAAAAAGGGATAAAAATAAACCTGGAGGTTCAATTGCATTCGAACAAGTTGGGTTTTGACATCTTAAAGCGCTCCTTGGATCAACATGACTTTTCGACTATAATTTATAATTATAAAGCTGAATAAGACTAATGTATTTATTAATTTATAATATAATAACATACCTTATAATATTCGCATAATTCGCATTTGCATATAAAATAATAACGATCTTGTAATTCTTTTCGTCGCTCTTCACCTGGTTGACTTACATCGATATAATTGATTGTAATCTACAAAAAATACATATATATATATATAAATATAATATAATATATATATATATTATCTTTTCTCATCTTTTCTCTCCCCTCTCTCCCCTCTCTCCCCTCTACCTCTTGATCTTTCATAATAGGCTCAATACATCGAATCATCATTTTTGATTTTTCAAAAACAACAACACAATTAGGCTGACAAGAATGATTGATCAGTGATGTGTTGGAATAAATCGCTGCTCCATTTGGTATCATTTCTCCATCCATAATAGAGAAACTATTTTCTGTAAACTGACAACAATATAAAATTTCTTTTATTAATCTCTTTTTTTACGCGTATATAGAAAAAAAATATTCTGGTAAAATATAATAAATACACGACAAAATAATTCAATCATATCTGATGAATTCAATATGGCTTCTTTTGGTACGCATTCACGAACCACCATTGACATTTGAACAAAAGGTTCGATTTTCTCTTGTTTGAATAAATTTCGATCTGTGTTGTGTAATCATTAAGAAGAATATAAAATATCATAAAAACTAAAAAAAAACCAATATATCATTAATATTTAGGATACTGCTTTGTAAATTTTCGATTTCTTTGAACTGATGACAATAATGACAATGATGATAATGATGATAATACAGTGAATAAATTAAAATAAAAGAATTTATCAAAATATTTATTATCAAAAATTACGTACTGATGCCGGATCACTCATTCGACGTATTAGGATCCGGCATATTAAACGAATTGAAGTTGGTGGCTTTCTCTGTACTTTGACAAAAATTTTACATTCATGTTGATGGATTGCCCAATCATTACGTTGACATTCCTATACAATATATATGCGAGTAATCAGCATCAATATATATTGATCTGATTAAATTATTATGAATGTTCCTAACCTTGGAACAATAATAAACAATTTTACAATTTGCACAACATAATAATTTTCCTCCTTTCATAAAACAATTGCTACAAATTATAGAAAGGTTTGCATCATCTACTACTGACGCGTAAGACATATCTTCCATGACAAGAGTACCTATGAATTATAATAGCATTTTCATGTTGAAATCATTATTTACACAAAATAATAATTGATATACAGTATCAATGCTATCTGGAGCATAATTGCGAGATATAAAAATACCGGAAGGTATATTTTGCAGAGCAAATATCCCTCTTCCTGATTGATCGTTTGTCCTAATCTCTGATTTTACATTTGTTTTCATTTTAGAAATTTGTTCATTAAAAGATAATCCTTGTTCCACATTCGTTCCTGTATTAATATTTTTTTCCTGAGTATTGCTACTTTGAGTCATTGGACTATAACTATCCTTTGAAATAAATTTCAGCGATTTATATTCTGATATATCAGCCTATAAGTCAAAAAAGCTTATTAAAAAATTTTAAACAGAAGACAATGCTTTAAAAGCACGTACTTCTTCGTTTATTTCATCAAAAAAGCTTAATTTAGTTGAAGTAGCAGTCCCCAAGGCTGAGGTCCGTTTTTGAACTTCATTGCTTTTTTGAACCTGCTGTTCCTCCTCTTCATCACTATTGCTAATTTTCCTTCTCCGTAAAGTTTTCTTTTTAGTGCTCATTAAATTTAAATTTAAATTTCGAAAATTTTTTTTTTTTTTAAACAATGATTTAATATGTCGTGTAATGATCTACGGCTTGTTGATCTATGATGATCTATGATGATCTATGATGTAAAAGAATCGTTAATTCAAGTTCGCACGACCGTATGTTCACTTCAATGCCATTTCTTCGCAATATAAACTATCGACTATTGTTAAGCCAATTTTCTATTACTTCGACCCTTTTATCTTCACCTTTATTATATTCTTACAATAATATCTCCGGTCTATCTTCTGCACTTAAACCTGTTTTTTGTGACTCGGGGACTTTATTTCAAAATTCTTCTGTAACAAACACTTTTTTACGTCCATTTTCTTTAAACATGGCTTGGTATTGTTCTGCTAATAGCAACGAAGGTCTTGTGAATAACTTGAAAACGGCCAAAATTATTACTTCAAAACGGGTTGAGGAAGCTATGAAAGCTACCGATAGAAAAAATTATGTTTCTTATTCTCCATATAGAGATTCTCCTCAACAATTAGGTTATGGTGCCACTATTTCTGCACCGTAAGCATATTATTATATAAAATAATTGATATTGGCTTCAATTATCGGCTTTATCGAAAGAATACGACTAAAATTTTCATTCTTTTTTTATAAAGCCACATGCATGCTCATGCTCTTCAAAATTTGGAACCTTTTTTGCAGCCCAGTATGAAAGGTATGTGAAGTTAAAAAAATATTATAATTCATTCCAATTTAAGTTTAAATTTGAGATACTTTATTTAGTTTTGGACATTGGATGTGGATCGGGATATTTAACGACATGCCTTGCAGAAATGGTACATTATTACATTATTGTTGTTTTATTCCACTTTTTGGATCTTTATCATTTATTCTATTTTAAAGGTCGGACCCGAAGGAAAGGTGGTTGGAATAGAACATATTAAGGAACTTGTCAACATGTCGAAAAAGAATATTCAAAAAGATCGACCAGATCTTTTGGAATCTCAAAGAATCATATTAATTCACGGAGATGGAAGGGAAGGTTATCCGGAAGAGGCACCTTATGATTGCATGTACATTATTCATTGAATATTAGTTTTCTTTTTTTATTTGTTACAATTAATTACCGATTGAAAATTTTTGAATTCATACAGTCATGTTGGCGCCGCTGCAGATGAAACGCCAGATGCATTGATCAATCAATTGAAAGCACCTGGACGGTAAGTTAAAACATTAATATGGAATAATTATTTTTTTGAAGTCAATTACATTTAATGCGTGCATTTAAATAGATTATTCATTCCTGTTGGAGGTAGAGATCAGTACATTTATCAGATCGATAAAGACGAGAATGGAAATGTTACACAAAAGAAAGTGATGGGAGTCGTGGTACCGTATCAATACAAACTGATTATAATTTATGTTTTATTCTTTATTCTAATCAAATTCGTTTCTTTTTATAGTATGTCCCTCTTACGGATGCCGACAAACAATGGTCAAGATAAGGTTCGTTTTACTTAGTGAATGCTTAATAAAATTTTATATTTGTAGCATTCTAAAGATAACAGAAATGAGATATATCACCCTATATAGTTGAATATCTCACTTAAACTATGAATAATATCATCTCGTTGATTTTTTTCATTATTGTATATTGTGTTTTCAGATTTTGTATCTTCAATTCTTTTTATAAGTAATGTACTTATACCAACATTCTTTGCTCCTTGATAATCTCTAAAAAATTATACTATATATGAGTATTTAACTATTAACAATTAACAATAAAGAGAGAATAAAGAGAAGTTAATAAGGCTCACCTAACTTTATCATCACCAACATGCAATATTTGTTTTCTCCTCTCTTCTTTGTTTGTAGTATTAATTTCACCTAATTCTATTGCTTTTTCAAAAATTCTGGCATCCGGTTTTTCAATACCAAATTTACCGCTTAACAAGATGAAATTAAAATATTGACGAATGTTTAATGAAGAAAAAATATTCTCTTCAAATAAATTTTATATTAGCATTATAATTAATAGTAATTGGAGTATTAATGTACTGTTTATTAACATACCTATTCTTTCATCTAAATTACTTATTACACCTAATTTAATCTTTCTGTTATTATGTAATTCATTTAACACGTGTACAGTATCATCATATAACTCATATGTTTCAGAAGTTGTGAATTTGTTATATAAATTTGTTGACAATGTTGGTAATATTAATGATAAATCTTTAATAAATAAAAAAATTTATTAATTTACTGTAAAAAAAAAAATATAAATTCAAACAAAAATTACTTTGTTTATCAACTCCAGCTTCAATAAATGTTTTTTCTATAACCTACAATAAAAAATAAATTATATAATTGGAATCATCTCTATCATCATCTTTTACCATCTTACCTTAGTCCACCATTCCTTTGGACTCAATTTACTATCATATCCATAATTAGGGTATAACTTATAAATACTCCGAAAAGATTCTCTAAATTTTTTATCTATTAAAGATTCTTCTAATTTTATTCCGAATTTGGCAATCTCTTTTGACTAAATTTTTAAGCAGTTAAAAGGAAATAAATATACATATATATTTATATAGTATTTAATTGATGAAAATTAAAAATGAAATGGATTTTCTATTACGTAGAAATATTCTATTTTTCCATTTTTTGGGCGAAATAATGTTCCAAATGCATCGAATGTGATTAATTTGATTTTTGATGCCATGAAATAAATGAAGATAATGTGAGAATTATTCTTTTCTGATAAAAATCAGCAAAATGTCGATTAATTAGATTATCAAAAAATTAATTTTCGAGATTTTCAAATATATTATTACTATATTTGGTTTGATTTTATTATTAGGAATAAAATACATTTTTACAGAAGTGAAATTTTTTTAAAATTTTATTGCAACAAAGAAGCAGACATATGTAAACCTAATGCGAAAGATCCAAGGTTCGAATCTATTCCGTACCCTTTCTTTTCATACTCTAGATAATATCATTTTTAAAATAATAGAAAATGTTTTTTTTAAAACTCTTTGTAAAATAAAAAAAAAAATTTGATATTTATTCTTACCCTGTAAAGTTGAAAAAAGATTTTTGATAGGAACAATTACGATGGTAATGAATTCGTCCTCTTCAAGTTTTTGTTGTGGATTTTTATTAATTTCATCATCCAAATCAACCTTTCAAAAAAAAAAAAAAAAAAAAGATCATTTTTAACATATACACGCACATTAAATGAAAAATGAAAATTTATTTAAATATTATTTACCTCAACGAAAATTAATTTATTATTCGTATTTGTCATTCCTACGTTACTATACATTGTGTAATATGAAGAAACAATTTTACCATGGTACCCAGTTTCTTCTTCTAGTTCTCTTAATGCTGCTTTTTCGGGAGTTTCTTCTCGATCAACCAATCCTTTATTTACGAGGAAAAAAAAAATTTGAAACAATATTTGAAATATATCTCTATTACGAATAAACTAATTGTACTTTTTTTTTTAAAAAAAAAAAAAAAATAAATAAATTTTTCGGAAATTCAATAACCATATTTTCGTTAGAATTATAAAATTGTAAACATAATTTTATCTGATTTGACTCCTAATCTATGGATTTCAATAAAGAAACGATTCCAACAGCTTATAAAATTAATTTTCATTGATTTAAAATGAATTCATCAAAAATACTGATATATTAAGAAATATTAAATCGTTTTACCATCTAATTCACTACTTCCCCTCGTTTTCCTTTCTGCGATTTCCCAAAACTAAAATAAAATTTTTAACAAGTTTTTATCTAAAATAGTATAAATTTCATACTTAATGAAAATATTATTCTTATGAAAACAAACCCTTTTATTCCCTTTTGGATCAGAATATTCTAATTTATATAATCCAATCCATCGTGATTCTTTATTTTCTAAAGGTTCTTTAGAATTTATACGAGGATCTTGCATGATTTGATATGGGATGATACCGATGATGCCGATGAATGCCTCTTTGTATATTTAAGCTTATAATCACGTGGTTACATAAATAACGTTGGTAAGTGATCTTACTATTAAATTACGCGTAAGTTGACTAAGTTCTCCCAACTTTCACAAAATGACAATTCGTCGATTAAATGACTCGGCCATTCGCAAGCTTCGCGCTTCTTTTATTTCAACTGTGGCTCAGTGTGTTGTCGAGCTTGCCCAGAATAGTAAGAACTTTATGCATTGCTGCGTTATTCTTGGAATCATATTCATTGTAACAAATTTTATCTTAGGTCTTGACGCTTTAGCAACAACCATAGAAATTCATGTTGATATGACGAAATTTTTTATTCAAATTATTGATAATGGGACAGGAATTACACCAGAGGATATGGAAAAAATTGGTCAACGATATGGTATTTTTCTTTTAGTTGATCCTTTCATATAACTTCAAATGATATCAATTTTATTAATAAATTTATTTAATAATATATAGCTACTTCAAAATGTCATACATTAGAAGATTTGGCGCACGTAACTACTTATGGTTTTCGTGGAGAAGGTTTGATATTATTTCATTAATAGAATTTCTTTCCGCACTTTTTTTTGTTTAAATTTTTTTTTTTCCTTTTATTTAATTATTAAAAGCTTTGGCTACGTTGGCTGAAGTATCTGCCTTGGAAATAATAAGTAAACATCCTAATTACTATGACACGTATTGTACGATTTTAAAGGTTTGATATTTAACATTAGTTTCTGAATAAAGTTAAGACATAGTTACAATATGTTAATAATTTTATCTATTTATTTAGGGTGGACAACGTCTTCAATGTGGCCCAACACGAAGTAGTAGGCGTAAAAAACCTGGAACTATAATAATAATACGTGATTTATTTTTTACGGTATATTTGTTATTTTTTTTAATGGCTCATGAAAATTTGAAAATTTCATTTTTTACTTGATTTAGTAATAATTTAATTCGATATTTTAGTATCCTGTTCGTCGTAAGCATTTATCAGAGAACGGCTTCATTAATGAACTCGAAAATGTCAAGAAATCGGTGGAATCATTAGCATTAATTCATCCTCAAGTAACCTTCACTCTAGTTGACGCGTCAAATGATAGTAAAATTGTCACTACAAAAAAGGTAAAGAAGGATCATCTATTAATGAACTAATAACAAGAAACGTGTATATTAATTTTAATGTTTATTTAGGCTACAACTAACATATCGACTTTTCGACAACTTTTTGGATCATCTCTGGCACAGGTAATATTAAATTTAATTTCTTATAATTATTCGATTTTATAATCTTATTTATTTTCATTTTTCTTTATAGAACCTTGATTCGGTATATGCAGAGGAAGATGATATAAAAATTGATGGATTTTTTTCTCTTAGAGGGTTTCACACAAGGGTATATATTTATGATTAAGATTATATTTATTATGAGTTTAAATTAATATACTAATTTTAAAATAATTTATTTGATATGTAGCAACATCAATATTTTTGTAAATATTAGTGGTTTAAGAAATATAATCACTTATTGTGCATCTTCAAATTTTTAACTTTACTTTTATTATAGACGTCAATAAACTGCTTATAGGTTGTAATGAAATATATAAGTTGATTGATGAGATATTTAATCAAAGCAGTTTTGGTAAAAAGGTTAGACAACCAATTAGGGTTTCCAATAAATGATAATTTCTGTTTATTAATTTTTATTATTACCATTTTTTTTTTAAAAAAAAAATTATATATATATCTATATATTAGAATTATGAATTACCCTTGAAATCTGGATCAGATTATTCAAAATATAGTTGGTGTTTCCTTAATATATATAGATTAAATTATTCTAAAAATAATTCATCTATTCAATCTTTTCTATCTATATAGAGAAAAGTTCTATGACAAAATCTTTGGAAAAATATCCAATATTTTTCATTCATCTCACTTGCCCAACAACCATTTATGATAAATGTTTGGATCCAGCAAAAAGTATGATAGAATTTGAGGTTAGTTTTATCTTATTGATTTTCATCTTAACCGAGAATTTTAAAATATAAGCTAAATTTATTCATTTCAGGATTGGTCCAAAATTTTAGATCTTTTATCTGCACTAGTATCACAATTTTTGTTGCATCATGGGTTTTCATTACGTGAGATTGAGACAATACCAAGTTTAGACACTCCAATGTCAATAATTGATAAGGAACAAATCAATTATAAACGTGATTTGTCGCTATCTTTTGAAAATGTATTACATATCAAGAGTGGAGGTCGGAAACAATATACTTTTCAAGATAAAGAATTGAAAGGTGGCTCATTTAATGATAGATTTTATGACAATCTTACTGAACATAACAAAAACTCGGAGAATAATTGTAACATAAATGGTACAAGTACAGATTTAAATTCAAAAAAGGTGGATTCACAACTAAAAGCTAAAGTAGATCGAAGTAGACTTAGAACATCGAAGTTTCAAGAAGGAAATAATAATTCAGGAGCGATTTCATGGGCAAAGGGGACTTTTGAAGTAATTTTTAAACAATTTTTATTTTTTAAACTTTTCTACAATTATTATTTTTATTCACCTTTTATTATAAAATTAGAAATGGACCAATCCTGTTTTTAAAAGTGCGGAAGTTCCAATTCCTTTGCTTAAAGCAATAACAGCAAACAACAAAACTTCTTCAGTTACTAGCAATTTCTTTTCACACAATTATTCAATACATTCAAATATTTCGGAACATCGTTTTTGTAAAAAAGATATTGAGCAAGCTAAAGTTATTGGTCAGGTTGATAATAAATTTATTGCTTGCAAGTTACCTTGTACGCAAAATATTGATAAGGATATAGAAGAGAAGCGTAACATTTTGGTCCTTGTCGATCAACACGCAGCTGATGAGCGTGTACGTATCGAAATGTTGCTAAAAGAATTTTGTGAACTCAAACTCAAGCAATCGGATCGAATGGACATTGATGATAACAGCGCCCTACAACCATCAAATTCATTTGTCGAAACAATTCAACTTAAACCATCAAATAAGATAATATTAACATTTAGGGAGACACAAGTCATCGAGAGATTTGAGAGCAACTTTAATAAATGGGGAATATTTTTCAGTACTAAGTCGGATAGCATATCTAATACAACAACTTCTTTCGTTTCACCACATTTTGTCTCTTCAAAGGGAGGTGATCATATTCCTCTTTATGTAACTCATCTTCCGAAAATGATCGCTGATCGATGTGCATTGGATAAAAGAATAACACAAGAAATTGTTCGTCAGCACCTTTATTGGTTAGAAGAAACAGGTGGCATTGGCACCGATTTTAACGCAAATGATGATCTTGATGAATCTAGAGATTGGGGGATAATGATAAGGAAATGTCCAAGAGGAATTATTGATATATTAAACTCTAAAGCCTGTAGAGGTATTTTATTCCAATAACTTATTAATCGATATCAATTTTTATATAATATTAATTCATTTATGAGATTAATAGGTGCAATCAAGTTTAATGACAAGCTTTCATTACAACAATGTGAAGAATTGGTAGCAAAACTTGCGGAGTGTGATTTCCCGTTTCAATGCGCGCATGGAAGGTAAGTTTGAAAAAAAAAAAAATTTTTCCCTATAACTTTATATTTAGACATTAATTACTTTCCTAAATTTATCAAAAGACCATCGATGATTCCAGTTTTGTATTTAAATGAAGCTCCAAAACCCGTTTCAGTATATAGAGATTCAGTACAATTAGGTGGTTATGATTGGAGAAATATTGGAATAAAATCTCTTACAAGTATTAATCAAATCGATAAGAATGAAGCATCTAGTAGTTGGAAACGTAGAAAGATAGATTTAGAACGATTTCGGATTTAAGCTAGATTTTTAGACTAATTTATTTTGTATCCAATGTAATAATAGAGTTGTATTTTATCTTTTTTTTTTGAAAAATTAAGTGATAAGTCTATTGCAAACACCAAAGACAAGACTCAATGAGCTAATGCAGAATTGAAAGCAAAGTTAATTCTTATAGTTAATTCTCGTAATTATACTTATCTGGGTTCTAACAACTAAATATCCCAAGCTAATTTATGTTTATAAATGTAACAATAAAACAGAAATAATTAATCTTATTATATTTTTATTTTATTTTAAAATTTTTTTTTTAACAGTTTAATTAAAAAAAAAATATATTAATAATTCAAACTCAATAACTAATAAATAAAAACCTATAAGTAAATTCAATGAAGATGATGAAAATGGTATATACACAGAATAATTAAAATAAAAAAAATATAATAATTAAAGTAGATGAGGGAAAATTACATTGAAACTAAATCTACATAAATGTCTTTCGAAAGTAGTTGAGTTATATGATTAATGAGTTTTATATTAATGATCATTGATACAAGTAAAATGTCAATAAAAATGGTTGCTAATAGCGTAGATATTTATCATTACCATAATGACCATTTACTCTTTTGTTCTTGTTTCTCCCTAATTTGTTTAGCTAAACTAGCAAAATCAGAAGCATGATTACTTAATTCTTCGGTTCTTTCACCAATATTTTCAAGTTTTTCCTTACGTTCATTGAGAGCAACTCCAACTTCAGCCATAACATTTTGTGTAGATTGAGGGGATTGTGATTTATCATTTGTAATTTCAACATCTTTATTTTCCAATAATTGCTCCCGTTCGCTAATGGCTGCCTCTCTATTTGATTTCTTTTGATTTTCTGCGACCCAATCTGGTTCCATATCAGGATACATCTTTCTATCGATGCTATCGAACACTTCTTTAAGAAGACTTGACGTACGTGTAATAAACATTTTCGTATTGACGAGGTTAGCCAAGGAACCTGTTCTTTGTTTTACGGCAGTAGGTTCAGGAGTATTCTTTTTATCTTCACCTTCTTTCTTATTTTCGTCAATGGATCTTGCAGTATTCACAGTATTTTCTGTAATGTTATCGTTAGCTACTGGTTGTTCTTGCTGTAGTTGTTGTAGTTGTTGTACTTGTTGTACTTGCTGTACTTGTTGTACTTGTACTTGTTGTACTTGTTGTTCTTGTTGTTCTTCTTGGTCCTTAGAATCCGAAGTAGCGGGTTCCTCAGGAGCTGTACCATTATCAGAAGTACTCCTTATCATATTTCCAAGCTTTTTGAAAAAATTAGAACTTGGAGAAACAGGCTCAGGAGTTTTAGCTCTTAGTTCACTTGGTGAAGCAACAAGTTGAGGGGATGAACTCTTTGAGGGAACTTTTATGGTTAATCGAGAGGCTATATAATTTTTAAATTAAATAAATAAATAAATAAATAAAAATAAATAAATATTTTATTTTTTTATAAAAAAAAGAAGGAAGGAAGGAAACTCACATTTTTCTTCATTTTCTTGTTCTTTCGGCGAATCTCCATTATTATTAGGACTATCATCCACTTTTACCTCGGGAAGTTTATTTGCCACTTGTGAATTTTGGTTATCTTGGTTTTTTTCTAATTTTTCATTACTAGGAGGGGGAGAAGACGAACTTGTAGACATATTGTTATCTCTAAGTTCTTTGTCTTTTGATGGCTTTTCAGTAAAATTATTTTTTGAAGGTTTAGGCCTATCAGAAATAATAACAAATTTAAAAAGTGGACTTTCACCCTCAAGACATACAGCCATGTTACTTAATATTTATTTATTATAAAAAAAATTTTTTTTTTTTCCAAAAGAAAAAAAAAATCGATTTAAGTTTTTTATGTAGCCTAATAAAATAAAAAAGTACAAGTATGAGATTTATGAGATTGAGATTTATATTTATATTTTTTATGTATTCTATACCGGAATTTTCTTAACGAAAGAATTAACATATTTGCGTAACTGTTTAACAAAATTCAAATAACGAAATTGGTAATGCAAGCCACGAAATTCATTTATCAAAAGCCGAAAGAAAAATCCTTTGAGTAACAAATATTATATAATTATCAGCGAGATTAGTTTACCGTATTTTATCGAAAATAAGCACCTATCAAAAATAAGCACCTCCCCTTATTTTGTGCGATTTCATGCAAAAATCAAAAATAAGCACCTTCAAAAATCAGCATCCCCCGGTATTTTATTAATTTTATTGACAATAGAAAAAAAAATAATTTTTAACTATATTGATTTTATTGACTTAGAAAAAAAAATAAAATTTAAACAAATATTATTAATTTGTATCGATAAAATCAATTTCATCCATTTCCTCATTTTCATCTTGAAGTTCTTTAAGAAGTTCATCAATTTCTTCATAAACAAGATCATCTTCCGATCCATCTAAATCATTAGATATACCACATTTTTTAAAAGAACGGATAATAATATCATCCGAAATATTCTCCCATGCACGCTTAACCCATTTACAAACATCACTTATTTTAGCACGTCGAAGGTTTCCTGAAGTAGTATACCCAGCACCACCATTAGACATCCAGTGGTGCCATTCTTTACGGAGGTTGTCTTTAAATGGCTTGTTGATTGCAACATCAAGTGGTTGACAAATGCTAGTCAAACCACCCGGAATTACTGCCAAATCAACATTAGTATCATGAAATGCGTTTTTAACAGATTCTTCTAAATGTCCTCTAAAAGAATCATACACCATCAATGCAGGAGAGCTGGATTGACCGTTTGTCATTATTCTTGAACGTTTGAGATAATCAACATACCGTTTCATTAAGTCTGTATTCATCCATCCACTCTCTTGGAACCAAACAATCACACCAGAAGGTGCTTGTTCTCCGCGTGGCATTTGTTTTCCTTTGAAAATACAAATTGCCGGAAATTTAGTTCCATCTATTATAAATAAAAAAAATTGTTATTTTATTTAAAAACTAATAAAAACCATAAATTTAATGTAAATCTTACCTGCGGCACATGTTAAAACTACTGTAAATCTGTTTTTTTCATTTCCTGTTCCACGAATATGAATTGTCTTATCACCTTTCGTATGAATGGTAAAATTTCCAGCCATGTCAAACCAGACAGGCGTTTCGTCCATATTAAAAATATTACACAATTCAAAAGATTTTCTGACCCTAATTCGAATGACAAATCTGCGAAATTTTTCCAATAATTCTTCTGTTTGTTCAGGTAGTTTTTGTGACACTTTTGTACGCCGCCGTAAAGCCAATTTATACCTTTTCATAAATGCAGATAACCAACTAGATGTTGCCTTAAATGTTTCTATTGAATTACCATAGAGAGAGATCATTTCTGGCCGGTCTAAAATTTCAAACATTGAAATTCGTAAATTCACTGTGGTTATAGCTAATGCCATTTTTCTTTGTTCCATAACCCATTTGTATAACTCCACTTCTGCTTCAGGATAAAATGCTTTTCGGCCAGAACCTACACTCATGTTTGTTGCTTTTGTTTCATCTTTCCAGTTTAAACTTGCTTTGACCCACCTTCCAACCATACTAGCATCAAGTTCAAAGTGCCTAGAAGCTTCATTTCTGCCACGTTCCTTAGCATAAGCAACGACAATTTTTTTTTGCTCAATAGAATACGAACTACGTTGGCGTTTTGAAACTTGTGGCATAGTATTAAAACAGGTTTGAAATTGTATGAAATTGTGAAAGTTATAAAAGTTGTATGAAAGTTATGAAGGTCGTATAAAAGTTTCGTGAAAGTTACGAGGTTACGCGAAAGTTATAAAGTCACGAACGCGAAATAATACCCCTAATTCACATGGTGAAATTCCCGAATTAGTAAAAAAAATTTCCAGAGTGATAAAACCCCTTGATTAATAGATAATCGTATTTTAAAAAAAAGTCTTGAAAATAAACACCCCCCAAATTTTTCGTCCAGAATCCTTGCAAAAATGGGGTGCTTATTTTCGATAAAATACGGTAATTGAAAATTAAGAGTAGCAGTAAATCATAATTTTATTATATATAATAAATTTTTCGTATTCTAAATTACATCACACAACATGCCCAAGCATTTGCAAATCAAATTCCATGCAGTACACATAACTATACAATAGATTGAGTTGAAATATAAAATAGAAGCAATTAAAAACTGTCCTTTTTGAATTATTTATTTATGTTAAAGTGGACTGTTATCATTAAATTTAATCAACTTCTTCCATTTGAGAAGCTTCTGCAGCAGCAGGATCAACGAGAGCTGGCAACTCTTCAGTTTCCATTTCTTCGGGTTCGTCCCCACCGATATCAAGACCAAGCTTAATCATCTTGAAGATTCTACCAGCGAAGGATGATGGTTCCTCCAAAGTGAAACCAGATTGCAAAAGTGAAGTTTCAAAAAGTAACCATGTAAGATCTTTTACTGTCTTATCATTTTTATCAGCTTCCACTTTACTCTTGAGAGATTTAACAATTGGATGATTTGGATTAATTTCCATAATTTTTTTGGACGCCATATAAGAAGCCATGCTGGAATCTCTTAAGGCTTGTGCTTTCATAATACGTTCAAAGTTGGCAGACCAGCCATATTGACCTGTAACGAGAACACAAGGTGATTCTGAGATACGATTTGAAACAAGAACCTATAAATAATAAATTTCCCAATTTTTGTTAAATAAAATGAAAATAACAAAATAATTTATAAAATAAAACATAAAGTAGGGATGTTACCTTTTCGACTTTGTCTCCAAGAATTTCTTTGATTTGTTTACATAAGTCATCAAATTCCTTGGATTCTTCTTCACGTTTCTTTTTCTCTTCTTCATCATCATCGAGTTCAAGACCTTCTTTAGTAATGCATACTAATTTCTTTCCATCGTATTCTTTGAGTTGTGATACAGAATATTCATCAATGGGATCGGTCATAAGTAAGACCTCATAACCTTTCTTTCTGAGTACTTCAACAAAAGGTGAATTCTCTACGGCTTGACGATTTTCACCAGTAATGTAGTAAATGTCCTTTTGTTTTTCTGGCATACGCGTAACGTAATCTTTTAGGGAAGTCAATTCATCACCAGATTTTGTTGAAAAATAACGAAGGAATTCTGCTAATTTGGCGCGATTGGTGGAGTCTTCGTGGATACCAAGTTTAATGTTCTTGGCAAAAGCTTCGTAGAACTTATTAAAGTTGTCTTTGTCTTCTCCAATTTCTGAGAAGAGCTCCATACATTTTTTCACTATATTCTTACGAATAACTTTGAGAATCTTATTTTGTTGAAGCATTTCACGAGAAATATTGAGAGGTAAATCTTCAGAATCCACGATACCCTTTACGAAATTAAGGTATTCTGGAATTAAGTCTTCACAGTCATCCATAATAAAGACACGACGGACGTATAATTTGATGTTGTTACGTTTCTTTTTTGTCTCGAACAGATCGAAAGGAGCACGACGAGGAACAAAGAGAATTGCACGGAATTCAAGTTGACCTTCAACAGAAAAGTGTTTGACAGCTAAATGATCCTCCCAATCATTGGTGAGTGATTTATAGAATGATGAATATTCTTCATTCGAGATATCATCAGGATTACGGGTCCAAATTGGTTTGGTTTTGTTAAGTTCTTCGGTTTCCTTGGTTTTTTCTTTAATCTTCTTCATCTTCTTTTCTTTCTTTTCTTCTTCGTCCTCTACTTCTTCAATCTTGGCTTTTTGTTCTTCTTCTTCGCCCTCTTTGACTTCTTTCTCTTCACTCTCATCCTCATCTTCGACTTCCTTCTCTACTTCTTTTTCAACTACAAGTTGAATTGGATAGCCAATAAATTCAGAGTGTTTTTTAACGATTTCTTTAATTTTGCGTTCTTCAAGATATTCTTGCTGATCTTCCTTCAAAAAGAGTCGAATTTCACTTCCGCGTTCAAGCGTTGGATTAGGATCACGTGTAATGGTAAAGGAACCACCGGCAGCAGACTCCCAAATGTATTGTTCATCGTCGTTGTGTTTAGTGATAACTTGCACGCGGTCAGCAACCAAATAGGCAGAATAGAAACCCACACCAAACTGACCAATCATAGATATATCGGCACCAGACTGTAGAGCTTCCATGAAAGCTTTAGTACCGGAGCGAGCAATAGTACCAAGATTGTTTACTAAATCAGCCTAAAGTACACACAAAAGTATTATGATATCAATATAATACATAATGAACTTCATTCCTTTATACTAATAAATACATTAATACAATACCTTTGTCATACCAATACCAGTATCTCGGAGGATAAGCACTTTATTTTCTTTATCAGGGATAATTTTGATATATAAGTCACGTCCAGATTCAAGTTTTGAAGGATCGGTAAGTGATTCATAGCGGATCTTATCCAAAGCATCAGAAGCGTTAGAGATTAATTCCCGAAGGAAAATTCTATTCAGAAACGCGTGATATTAAGTATTATTATTATTATTATTATCGGTTATATTAACATAAATTTCTCTGTTCACTTTTTTTATTAAACTATCCTTCCTTTTTGAAACATGAAACAATAACCATTTTGATACTCACTCTTTATTTGAATAAAATGTGTTGATAATAATTGACATAAGCTGAGAGATCTCAGCTTGAAAAGCAAATTGTTCAACTTCAGCCATTGTTAATAGACGTTGTGTGTGCGCTCGTTAGAATACGTAAAAATTATTTTTTTTTTTTTTGAAAAGTATATACAACCGAATATCGTTACGGGAAAAAAAAAAAAAATCTTGTTGAGGGTATCCTTTTATATATAGATATACGAATGATTTCGTGGCCTTACAAACTTTCTATGATGTTCTATATGACAACTGATCAAATGTCGTACGCACATGAATTTGGGCCTAAAAAAGTAAATCATCAACACAATTTGGAAGGTTCTAGCAATTTGGAGAGAAAACTACAAAAAAAATTTTTCAATGTCACGGAAAACATACGCCGACAAATAAATTGTCAAAGAGAACATGCCCTATAAAGAAAGGACAGTGTAACATTAGAAATGGGCATGCGTAGCAAAGAATTTTACCCTCAAAAATGAGTAACGATACATATAAGTACTTACTTTCACTTCTTTCAAATCATTAATATAAAGCGTAGCTTTTAATATTTGATTAGTCATCATACGGTCAAGATTAAATATATCGCATTAGTTTATGACTCGAAAGTTTTCAAAATTTATTCACTGAATTAGTTAAGCTGTAATAGGTAGTCAGTTATTAAAACAATTAAACCAATTAAAATATTATAGTAATACTTTCTATTAGAAAAGAAAATTATAATTAAATTAAAAAATTTAAAATAGAAATGTTAAACCTAATAATTATAATTGTATTAGAATTGTATATTTAAAATTGCGTGAGTTTATAAATGACCGGAATCTTCGTTTACTTATTTTTCGGCCTCATATGGATAGCCAGGAGATTACTAATTTAATTTAAAATAGTTTAAAGTATAAAATAGTTAATATTTAATGAGTGACAGGATTAAATATTTCGAACATTTCCTTCGAAAAGGAATTTATTAATTCTTTAATTAGTATACCATTTTTTAAAAAATATTACATTTATTATTTACAACTTTAACAATATGAATGAGAATAAATCTCACTAACAACTCCAATAGTATCTTTTTTACTAAAGAATTTTTTGAAAATGTTCAATAGTTTAAAAATATGAATAATTTGCCAGAATACCAGGAAATTTTAGATTTAAAGGATCCTTAAAGATTTCAACAAATTCAAATAAAATGATTAATAGATAAGCTCAAAACAAATGTGATTTCTGTAATAATATAGAATATAATTATTCAGTTTTACTTAATGCTAATTAATTAAAAATAATAGTCAAAATTAGTACTATTAAAATGCTAAAAATAGGTATTTATAGCAAAGACAAATTATGTTATAAATCAAGATTTAAAAATCATAAAATAAGTGTATTTTAGCCTGTTTTACAAGTTTACTTAAGGTTAAAAAGTAGATTTTGAATACTGGTTTTCACTTTATATATTTATAGTAATTATATCTAAAAATGGATAGATAAAAAATAAAAAGTTAAATAAATTGAAAATGGTCATTTATTATTCTAAGTAAACCTGCAGAACAGGTCAAAATACACTTAATATATAGTAAAAAGTTTTATTTAGAAAATATTTTTTTTCAACCTCTGCTTTAGATATCTTCTAAAAATAGTATTTATAACTTTCTTAAGTTATTTAAGTAAATTTATAAAACAGGCAAAATTACTTATAAATTATAATTTTAAAGGTTATACAAAGCTTATATAGTGCAAAACCTCTATACTTAACTACTTATGTATAATAACAATTGATTGATTATAAATTTCTAAAAAAAATTTTTTTTATATTAAAGTAAAAAATTTAAATAATGATTTTTATAAATATAATCATTAGCTTTAAAAATTATTAGTTATTTTTTTTTATAAATTAAATTTTAGATAAATTTTAGCTATTTAAAATCTGTAATTTAAATATATTTTAAATCAAATTTAATTAAAATTAAAACCAGTCTAAATTTTTGTATTACAAACTATATTTAATGTAATATTAATTGTTATTATACTTTGGATTTTTTTTTCAATATGGTAAGAAGAAAAAAAAGCAAATTTTTTTACATTTGCCAATAACATTAAATAATTTCTGTTGCATATAAAATATTATCAATTATGATATTTAAACCTGAAAGCAAAATCAAAGAGTTAAAAAAGAGTAGGAAAGATATTGATGCTGAAAATATTAAGCATGATATTGATATTTATGAGTTTAAAAAGTTAAAGCCAAAGTAGCAAAATTAAGGTATTATGATATTGATGAACTTAAAAAAAAATCAGTATTTAGATAGTTAAGAAAATTCTTAATGAAGAACTTATGATCGAATATTATTCTTTTTTCTTGGATAGATTAAAGCTTAATGTTTTCTTTCAAAAATATTAAATCGTATTAAAGATGCAAAGGCTCAGTATTGGTTTCATAATACTAACTGGTATAAAGATATTAAAAAATTCAAGGATATCATTAATTATAATTGGCAAAAATGATGTATTTATCAAGATAATAAAATTTCTCTTTTTGAAGTATAATATGATAAAAAACCAGAAATTATTATTCCTAAAAGAATACAAAAAATTAAGAAGTTTGCTTATTTAACATCCAAAAGTTTTAATATTTAGACCAACTCCTATAAAATATTAACCTCTGAATATCTGAATTGGTATGCCAAATTAGCTGGTTTACCAAGTATTTTGATAAATAAGATTCGTTTCAACTTACATAATAAAAGATATAAGAAAAAAACTGGACATAAATTATGATATTAAAAGCTATGATAAGCATAATAAACCTCAAACCTTTGATTTTAAGCATATCACTTATAAAGTCAAATTTGGTTCAGAATTAATTATTAAGTACTGTGAATATTTTTCTCACTTATTACCTGATATGTAAATCTTGAAACTGTGATGCATATTAGGACAGTGACATTTATTACGTAATATTTTAGGAAGTGGAAGGGTATTTGAAAATTATATAACATATAAGTATAACGTAAGATTTTTTATATTACATAGGGATGGGTGAATATAAACTTATAGTAAATAAATATTACGTAATAAATGTCACTGCCCTTAAGATCTTAAAGTTTAGTACTTTTTTTATATGATTTTTGTAATTTAATGTAACAGATATTTGTATTTAGTCATTGCATAACTAATCAACTGATGAGTCAGATTAATCTGTATAATAATCAATATTATCTTAATATTTTTATATATTTTTCTTGTCATTTAGTTATATTTTTATTTTAATTGATAATCTAAATAACCAAAATATTTTTCTATTCGTATTATACTTTTCATATTTTTTAATTATATCTAATGTTACAACTGGCTCTACAAGTGTTTTTCTTCTGACGATTAGCGAAATAAAAAAATTGAATAGTGAACAACTTAACGAATATTTGAGAAGAAAACTGAAAGACACTAAAAATATTAATAAACATGTAAATACTATTACAGTTAATCAAGAAGTTGGTGGTTCAAATTTTCTTGATCTGACGCGAGATGATCTTTTAAGTATTAAAATACCTCTTAGACCAATCAAAGATATCGAAAAAGTAATTAATAAAATTAAAAGAGGTAGATGAATTTTTTTCATTCACATTATGTTATATTTGCCAATAATGTCAAATGCTTATATATTTTTATACTTTTTTTTTCTGCTTCTTATTGTCAAATCCATCTAAAAAATATATTTGCATTATTATAGAACAATCTGATACTAGTGGTAAGTGAGTTGTAATAAATTAGTTACTTTTTATAGCTATTTTTTTTCTAATTTTTTTTTACTTTTTGGCCAATTAATTCATACCTATATTAAATAACAGATATAAGCAATTTAAAAAGTTCAATTGAATACATTAAGGATAAATTAAAAGATATATATGAATTGATAGCACGTTATTAAATATCAAAGACATAAGGTTTCCATTACACTTAAAATTTGATATTTTGATACTTATTAATTAATTAGATTTGTATTACCAAGAAGGTAACTTCTATTTAAATATACCAATTATAGTTCTCAATTATACATATTATTGATATAGCTCATGATAATTTGTTTGTATGGTATAAAAAAAAAAAAAAAAAAAAAATTATACATATTATTATCTCGTGCTAATAAACTTACAAATTACATTTATATAAGTGGATATAAAATATTAGGAGTAGTGTTACGATCTGGATGAATCTGTCATCCGTTCAATCTGATCCAAAATAAACAGATGATCTGGATGAAAATCCAGATTTAATCCAAATGAGAAAGTTATATGTACAATCCAGACGATTCAGATCCAATCCATTAAAACATAGAGGTAACAGATGACAGATTGATCCAGATGAGCAAAAAACGGATTCATGGATAATCTGGATGAGTTTCAAATCAGATAAATCTGCAGATTGACAAATTAACAGATTAACAGATCGCAACACTAATTAAGAGTCTTTACTTTTTTATTTAATGTAACATTTACACTTTAATAGGCAAAAAAAATGTAAAAAAAGCTTTAAGAATTAATAAAGTATATCTTTAAACTACCATTTGAAAAGAATTATAATAGGATCTCAGATATTACATATATAACTTACATTTGAATTTTAGCAAATTCAATCAAAATTAGATTAAACTTATAATTTTAGATAGAGCAAATTAATTGAAAATTAATTAATAGTTATAATTATAAGTTTTAGCAAATTGTATTGATTTTATAATGTCATATTTTATATTTGAGTAAATTGCTTTACAGAAATTTCAAGATCATAGTGTTAGCTTAATGGACAGTAACTGCATTATAAATACATAATAACCATATTATATAATTATAAAGAAATTACATATATGCAGTTACTATGCATTAAACCATTACTATAATCTTAAAGTTTCTGTAAAGTGATACTTTTTTTTAAATTTAATTTATTCTGAACAAACAGTCATATGACTTTATTTTTTATTTAATTTTAACATCAAAAAATATTTATAAAATCGAATAATATTACAAAAAAAATAAAAAAATAAAACAAAAAATAAAATAAATAATAGCTTCACAATTTATACAAGTAAAGTAATCTAAACTGAAATAAAATTAAAGAAAAGAAAACTAAACTATTACAGAATCACATACCCCAACTTTATTCGAAAATCAGTATAAGTCAACTATCCAGTATGTTCCAAAATCCAGTCTGTTACCAGAGAGAAATCCCAAGATAAAGAGGCTGAACTGTTAAGCAGCACAGAAAATCCAAGTGCAAAATCTAAGATTCATCCCAGATTATAAAAGAGGAAATCCAAGAAATCCAGAAATTCAGAAAAACTGTTACCAAAGAAGAGTGGTAGTTAATAGGTAAAAAGATAAGAAGAGGAGAAGAAGAAAAAATTTCATAATAGAGTAATCCCTTAAGAAAGTTCCAATGATGAAAGAAGATAATATAGTAAATCCAAATATCCATATAAAAGCAAAAATAAAAATCATATAAGAGAGGAGATAAAATATTAAAAACCAAATATTAAGAAAAAAATCTTGATAAGTAATCAGTAAGAGAAGTTAGAATAAGTTTGTGAGTTAATCAAAGATAGAGCGGAAAGGCAAAATATAGTTTCAGCAGTCCAAAGAATTGAAGTCAATCATAGTAAAAAAGTCAGAAAAAAAAGGATACTTATCAGTAAACTAAAAAAGACAAGCATCATGGAGATTAGAAATCAAAAAATTATAATAAGCATGAGAGCTATGTTTTGGAAGAATATAAGGCAAGTCCAAAGATGATTCAAGGTTTCAGAAGTAGAATTACATTAAGGATAAAACCACTCTGAAAGATACTATACTTGAAGATTGCATCATTATAACATAGTAAAAGTAGAGAGTAAATCCAATAAGAGTTTAAGCTAAAAAGCCTAAAATTCAGGATGACTATTCTTATGAGAAGCAAAAGTTTTTATTTGGAAGAAACAAAAGTGAATGCAAGCCCAGTCAAATTGATAAAAAAGACCAAATGCAATGAAATGAATAAGTGAGCAAAATGAAAGCAAATTACAAGTTTTATAAATAGATTTGTAGAAATGGTGAAGATTAGTGTCAATCAGTAAAAAATTGAATATTAGAATGCATAAAGCATTAATCAAGTCTAAAGGATAAAAAGAGGGTTGCCCAGGATAAATGGGCAGATTTTGCTAAAGTATCTATTTGAGCATTAAAAGGGTCATTTGTATAAGCAAGAACTTTCTGGAAATTAATGGTAAAATTTTTATCCAAGACTAAACATCTTGTAGAAAACTAAAGTAAGTGATTAGTTTTTTTCAAAAGTTTAGGAGAAAAGGAATTGTCAACATAAGAGTAATTTAACTTATCCTTAATTATAACTTTTATCATCAGGAAATTTGTTTAGGCGTAATTTAGTGTAATATTTCGGAGGTGGTGTAAAATTTTGAAATATTACACTAAAAACGTAATATTACAAAAGTTTACACTCTTAAATTTGAATAATAATAGTAATTTAAGAATATCTCGCTATCTACTGATCCAATCGAGACGATCTATAGCTCATTGGAATCAGCTCATCAAGACGAATCGAATGGTAGTAAATTCGCATTTCTACAGTTGATAGAACGCTCTATAGTATGCAATAAAGTTTTAAATTAATAGAAAGTCATCTATCGAACGTAGAGATATGATTTTACTACCAGTCGATTCGTCTTGATGAGCTGATTCCAATGAGCTATAGATCGTCTCGATTGGATCAGTAGATAGCGAGATATTCTTAAATTACTATAATTATTCAAATTTAAAAGCGTAAACTTTTGTAATATTACATTTTTAGTGTAATATTTCGAAATTTTACATCACCTCCGAAATATTACACTAAATTACGCCTAAACAAATTTCCTGATGATAAATAATATTTAAAAAGATATTAGTTTTGAAGAACGGTTTATATTTTAGCTAAAATTAAGCATAATACAGGCCAAAAACCATCTGATTAGTTTTACAACATTTTATTTTTTAATAATTATTTATATTTAATTCATGAAAAATATTTGAAGTTGAATTCAGTATTAAATACTTTATTCAAACTTGTCTATGTATTGAAAAATATGATTAACTTCCTATGTTTATGGTCTTGAATAATCTTAAATGTTCTATAATATTTATAATTTAATAATTGAATTTTTATAAATTATAATTCATTGGATTTATCTTATTAAAAATAATTCAAATAATTGTAAATATATTTATTGAAATAATATTAAATTACATTATTTTTGTTTTATAAAATATATAATAACTGAAAATTAAAAATAATTATATAGTAGGTAATTTTATATTTCTAAAAAATTAAAAAATATAAAGCATACAGTCAAACCTCTATATACTAATATTGCTGTTTTGGGGAAAAAGCATCAGTATATCGAATTATCAGTTTATAAAAAAAATTTTATATGCCAATATTATTATAAATAACATAATTAATATCGGTATAAAATATTTTAATATGTATAAACATGCAACTTTGATCTACATTTATAAAATTCAAAAAATTTATTAACAAAATTGTATCAATTATATCAATTATATATTACATTAGGGATTAGAAGTAAAATTGTATCAATTATATAATTACATCAAAAATTAAAAGTAGGAAAAATTGCGTAACTTCATTTATGTGATCTAACCTTAAATAGTTAATATATCAGTATATAAATCAGATCTATATATACATTACTATATGAGGGACAAAGGAATAGTATCGAATAATGTTATATTGTGAAATCATATAACAGATAAAATATCGGTATAACAAGGTTTTTTTATTAGTTGAAAAACAGGGAAATTAAAATCATCGGTATAAGCAAATATCAGTATATAGAGGTCTAACTGTATATTATAATTATAAAAGGATTTTACTAATGATCACCAGTGATGATTATTATTATATATAAAAATATTTTTTAAATTTTCAAAATTTTTGACTGAAATATTATTCTAATTATAATATAAATATTATTATTATATGTAAATTTATGAGTAAAATAAGTTTTTTCTAGATTATAAAGGCTGTTATTCAGATAGTTTTTTTTTTTTGGCTGCAGTACATTCAGAACTTTATTTTAAATTCAAATAGTTTTTAAGAAAAATAAAAAAGATTGATTTATAAGTAAAATACAATTTTTTGTTTTAAAAGATTTTTTTTAGTCAAATTTTCAAAATTTTAGTGTGATTAGTTTTTACTCAGGTTTGTTTTACACATTTATTATTTAAATTGAAATTTTTGAAAAAAAAATTGTTTTTTAACTCTGGCCAAAATTATAATTTTCGGCCAGAATTAAGTGGTGTGGCACTGGTGATCTTTAGCAATACCTTACAATCTGCAAAATAAAAATGTTTATATAATTTTAAACTGACCATTATAAAATTGAATTAATGATTGATATACAATTTAATGTAAAGATTTGAATGAAATAAGTAAAGTTTGTTATTAAACACAATTACTAAAAAAGTACTATAAAAAATGATTTAATAACTATCTTGTAATGAAAGCATCAATATCAAGTACGAATTAGAACTGTTTCTTCACTTTCCTTCTTATTCAACTCTTCAAAAATTTTTTCTATATTATATTTTTTTAACTTCTTATAATCCTCAAGAATACTCATCCCACAAATATTCTGTTTAGTATTTTATGAAAAAACAATTATCAGTAAAAATTAAATATTACACATTAAATTTGATGTTACTTCTAGCAGCATACCATGAACACATCCACAATTATTACTAATTTCGGGTCATCAAGATTCACTTTATGCTGATTACCAACCAATTCTGCAATGGCATTAATTAGTTCCATACGATCTATAACATTATTGTTTCTGAAATTTGGGACAATAGCATACTATTTTTTTTTAGAAGGAGATGAATTATTAAATAAGCTTGAAGATATCAGTTAGGTAAAAAATTATGAGATTTTTACTTGAATTTGTTGATTATCTTTTAATGAATGAAATCGTGGCTTCAATATTTCTTCCGCCATCTTCTTGATATCATTCATGTTAGCATAACAGGTTTTCGTAATAGGAATCATTCTCATGGAAAATCTTTTGATTCATTATTAAATACAAATCATGTTGAATCGAAATAATTTCTCTCTCTCTCAAATTAGAACATCAATATGAAATTACTTACCTAGTCTTCTTTTTTCCTGTATTATACAAATCAATCAAAATAGAATGAACGAGTTCAATAGGATTTACGGGTGGGTTTGTTTTAATGAATACAACTAACAAAATTATTATTAAACTTATAAATGATAATTATATCATACTAAAGAACTCAAGTCGTGAAAATTATAAATACCACAATCGGTTCCAGTTGGAATTGACATAAAACGACGTGATTTATGAGATTCTTTCATTTGAGCAATTTCTTTAGCAATTGAGCTTTCCACATCATTATCCGATCCTTCATTATCCGATCCTTCATTATCCGATCCTTCATTAGCAGTATAAATCTTATCAGCATACTATTTCAATTAAAATTAAGACATTTAAATAATTTTTAAAGAAAGGAAGAAAAAAAATTATATAAATCCTACCTCATTAAACAAATCATAGCATTCGCTAACACACAAAGATTCTTTTTTTTGATTACAGCTAACAAATATTCCAGATATGTTGGGTACCAAAATAAGTGCATTTTTTTTGTTTTGTTTTCTTCTATACGACTTTACTATAAAATTGTTAATGATTTAAATCGTGAAAGAGAATGAGAAAAAGAACATCTTGAAACTATACCTTTATGTTTTTTGTAACTTTTATCCGAAACATTATTATCACGATTACGTTTCGACATTAGTGTTTTTATAAATTGTAATAGGTTTTGGACTTTGGAGAAGTGGACCTAAATCATACATCTAATGTCACGTGTTCATATTTATGTATTTATGTATACTGAATCAATATTCGCGAGACCTTTTCGCACTTAAAATATGAGTAGCAAAAAGCATAAAAAGTACACTTGGTCAGAAGAAAGTATTGCAAAGACACGTAAAACTCTTAAAGAAAGGCTTTCTGGTCATGCGATACCGCAAACGCTTGTTGGCTTAGAGAAAAATAGCAAGTATGTTCCAAATTAAAACACGAAAAGTACTGGTTAGAATCTGGCTTTGTGGCGCGAGAATTTATTCAATTAAAACGCGTTTATTAAATGAAAAATTCTATTTCTCTTTTCTTAGAGATTTATACGAGTTGTTAAATAGAACTGTGGCTTTTGGTGAAAGTAATACCTGTATACTTATTGGCCCGTCTGGTTGCGGGAAAACTGCTGTAAGTTTCTTTACATTATCGAGTAATATGATATCTTTTGAATAATTCATCTCTGTTTAAATTTTCTTTTCTTTTTTTTTTTTTTGTAAACAAAGCTTGTAAATAAGGTTATACAAGAATTATCTGAAAAATATGATGATGATTTTTGTACCGTGTATTTAAATGGGCTATTCCAAACTAATGATACGATAGCACGTAAGCAACTTGCTCGTCAGCTAGGAATACAAATTAGACAAGATGTGAGTATATACATTTCAGTAAAATTTATACGCGTCTTTATTAATTTATATAACTGTATTTAGCAAACGGACCTTGAAGTGTTTGATCTGTTTAAGTCAGGAAATGAAGCAACGAAGCCTATAGTTATTATAATTTATAATTTCGACGAATTTGTAAAGAATTGTACTAAACCATTTGTATATAATTTCTTTAATATAACCACGAGCAAGAATTGTCCTATGGCGTTAATTGGAATTACTCGTAAATTAGTAAGTTTACGCGTAATTTTATTAAGTAAAAAAACATTATGTTTAATCTTTTTTTAAAAAATCCTTTTCTTAATTAATAATAGAGTATATTTACTGATCTTCCTAGTAACATTTTATCACGAAATTCGTATTCTCATATTAATGTTGAACGACCATATACGATTACAATTTTTACTAAACTTGCTAAAAGTATTTTGACCGTAGATAATTCCATCACAAATGATAAGGAATATTGTAAGATGTTTAACAAAAAAATTCAGGTAATTTAAATGATTGTCTAAAATTTTCTTTTAACAGAAATAATTTTATAATATATGCATTTTCATATAGGAGCTGTTTGAAAATAAGTCTTTTAAAAATATTATTGAAAGGATATTCAATAATTCAACAGACATCGTTAGAACTTTTCATAAAATAAGCGTAAGTTTGGAAATTTTGCGACTTAATTTTAAGTTATTTTATTAATTTGTTCTTACGTGTCTTATTAGTTTGAACCCGTTGGTAAAATGAATATTGAACAACCTTTTCTTATACCGAGTGACTTCATTGAAGTAGCTATGCAACAAGAAGTGAATATTGACAAAATCTTACAGGGTAAGAAGTAATTCTATTTTAAAAGAAGTAATATGTTGCTATTATTAACAAATATTTCTTTCAATGTTGAAGACTTACATGAACCTCAACTGTGGATTTTACTCGCAATATATTCACTAAGCGGACGTGATTGTAATGTATTTAATTTCGCAATGGTTTATAACGAATATACTAATTATATAAAGTCTTATATAAAAGAATCTGGTAGTAGATTTAAACAAAAGTTGATTAAAGAACATTTATTAAGAGCAGAATTTGAATTTTTAGAACAAAGGGCTATAATCAGAAAAGCTGACAGTAAAGATTTACCAAAAGATTTTAGAATGATGAGATTAACAATTTTACCCGAACAAATAATTGATGTAGTTTCAAATAATAATAGGTTACCAAGTCTTATGAGACAATGGATCTCATAATGTAAATTTGTTAATTAAATAAAAGAATTATAATTGATCACTACTATTTTAGTATTGTATTTATTCGAGTTAAACTTTATTCAAGCAATCCTTCTAGAGATGTGCTTAAACCTATTTCAGACATTAAAAGTACTATTACTTGGTTTGGTTAACTTGTATATTAAATTGAAAATCGAAATAAGTAAAATATAAAAATAAGTAAAATATAAAGTTTAATTATAAATGTTACTGGTGATAATTGTCACCAGTCACCACTGGTACTAAAAGTTTAAAATTTTGCAATCAGAATTTTTAACTCTGGCCAAAATTATAAACCGGCATTTTAAATAGCCAAATTGTAATTTTTGGCTGGAATTAAGTGGTGATAATCACTGGTGAGGTAGGATAAAATGGCTGCGCCATTTTATCCTATTGTTAAGTATATCACATACAATAATTATATTATCGTTTAGTTCATATTAAAAGTTTATGTATTAGTTTTTAAAAAAAAAAGTTTATTATATAAAAGTTTAAAAAGTTTATATAAATGTATAAATAAGTTTATTTTAAGTGATTGTTTTATTTTTTTATTCAAATAAATGGATAGAATGTTCAATATGAACCTATGTAACTAAATGATAATTATTATTAATGTATACAGTAAATAACAATTTTTTTTTGACATGTAATTTAAGCTAAAATTAGATAAGAAAATTTCTTAATTTACACTGGGTAGTCATATCACGTGACTTTATTAAAAAGTTATGTAAAAAAATTTTAATAAATATAATTTTAGAAGAAGCATGTAGTATGTGTATTTTTGTCTGTTCTGCAAGTTTACTTAAAGCATCAAAGTTGATTTTGAATGTCGATTTTGATTTATTTAACAAATTCTTTTTTTTTCCTGTTTTTTTCGTTAAATTTAATTCTGCCCAACATTAAATGATCAGCATTGAAAATTTACTTTCTTGGAAACCCATGTTTGAACTTTGATATTGTTATTATATTACTTTACAAGTAAAACTTGCAGATTGGTTATTTTCCTTTTTACTGTTATTTTCATTTTTTCATCTTTTTAATATCTATTTATTTATAAATGCTTAAATATAAAAAATGTGGTAGTATAAATGGATAGCCGGGTTTTTGCTTTTGAATGTAGTATACGCCTATTTCTGAATATTTGATTGGTTAATAATCATTTCGGACAAATCAGTGGCTTTCTGCTTAAAGCAGAAATCATCGTCCCTGGTTTGGTGTTTTTTGGATCAAAATTTTCGTAACGCGTTCTTTTTGAGTTTTAAACTCGATGAATAATAAGTTTAATAACCACTTTTTATAATGGCTTCAACTACATCCATTATTTCTGGCCTCTCTCATCACTATGTCAGGAAAAGTAATAGTAGCTTACACGATATAAGTTCTCAAGATTCGCAAAAGTCACCAAGAACCTCCACGCGGTTGGAATGTAAACCGCGTATGGTTATCAATAAAATGATTTTGAACAATTTTAAGTCATATTTTGGTGAGCAGGAAATAGGACCATTCCACAAGGCATGATATTCTTTCTTAACAAAAAGTTCTTCTGCGCCATGTTATTCTTTCTCTGATATATATATATATATTTATTTATTTAATAGTCATTTTCCGCTATTGTCGGACCAAATGGTTCAGGGAAATCAAATGTTATTGATGCTCTTTTATTTGTATTTGGATATCGAGCAAACAAAATGAGACAAGCAAGACTATCAGAACTTATTCATTCATCACAGGGGTGTGAAAATTTGGATTCTTGTACTGTTGAAATACATTTTGAAGAAATTATTGATTTGGTATAAAGATTAATAGTTTATTTCGTGAAAATTTTAAATTACTTAGAGTAAATGGTTGTGATAATTTTATAGTATGGCTCGGACGATTTTGAGGTTGTACCTCATTCCCAGTTGGTTATTTCGCGTCAAGCGTATCGTAATAACACAAACAAGTATTTCATTAACGGTCAACAAAGCAATTATACCGAAGTGACAAATCTTTTGAAAGGAAGAGGGGTTGATTTAGATCATAAACGGTTTCTGATCTTGCAGGTATATTTTCCAAAAAATTCATGAAAAAGTACTATTATGTAGCTTATTATAATAATATGATTAGGGAGAAGTTGAATCAATATCACTGATGAAACCCAAAGCACCAAATGAACACGAAGACGGACTTTTAGAATATCTTGAGGATATAATAGGAACTTCTAAATATAAAGTTCCTATTGAAGAAGCAAGCGAAAAACTTGAAAACTTAAATGAAGAACGATCAGAAAAATTAAATCGCACTAAAATAGTGGAAAAAGAGAAACAAAGCCTAGAGGTAAAATATTAATAAATCACGTCTGCATTTGTGTAAACAGTAATCATTTATTTGTAATTCTTTAAATTTCAATGAAATAAAGGCCAAGAAGAAAGAAGCGGAAGATTATATGCGTGACGAAAACTCTTTAGCTTTGAAGAAATCAATTATTTGTCAAAAGCACTTATTAAAGTGTAAGAATTCTATTGATATATCTACCAGGGAAGTTGTAAGTTATGAGATTAATTAACTTATCAGATAGACTTTCAAACTATTAAACTTCATACTATTTACTATTAACTAGAATCAATTGAGAGCTGAACTAAGAGAAGAGGAAGAAAAGCATGCCCAGATAAAACAAGATAATAAAGATCTTGAAGATAAATATGGAGAATCTGTTGAGGCTTATCAGGTTGGGCAACTGTGATGATCTAAGTTAATAATAATTAATTATCGCTAATTTAATGCATATATTTTTACTTAACAAGGAACTCGAAAAAGAAACAAACGAAATTCTGAAAGAATTGGCGAGTTATGAGAAAGAGAATATTAACTTGGGAGAAAGGAAGAAGCATGCAATATCTAAACGGAAGAAAATGATGGAAGCAATTTCTACAGTAAGTTTTATATTATTTGGCATATGAGAATATAATTTAGATATTAATCATCTCTTTTATAGGATAGACATAACTTTTCAGAGGCAAAAACTGCGATAAAATTTAATGAACAGGATTTGGTAGACCAAATGGAAGTAATGACGCGCTTAGAAAGATCTCTAGGAGCCCAAGAAATTGAACTTGAAGCAATCCGAGAAAGTTTAAAAGGTACGCGGATTGATTGAATTATTTCAATTAAATTAAATGAATATAATATAGATAAACCCTTTTTATTTTGTATTTGGTACATTATTGAAGGCAAGACGGAAGTTTATTCAATCCAAATTGAAGAGAAACAGAGAGAACTTTCACCTTGGTCAGAGAAAATCAATGCAAAGCAATCTGCTATTGATGTTGCTCAATCGGAGTATAATTTTTTAAAAGAGAAGATTGACTCGACAAGAAAAGATCTTGAACAAGCAGAAGAAACTATCGCTTCGCTTCAAGAAACGCATCGAACTAAGGTATTATCAAAATTGATATACTTTTCCAACAATTATTCATAATTATAAATGATATATATTCTTTAGGAACAAGAAATCTTATCCAGCAAAAATCGAATTAATGCAACAAAGCGAGAAATTCAACAAATTGATACTAAGTTAAAGGTTAGAATTAATTATTTAATATATTAAATTAGTATTTTTTATGATATTCATAAATATCGTATTATCATAGAATTACCATCGACACCAAGAAAATCTTAGGTCTAATCTTGCAGATGCTCGACAGAGAAAGGACGAAGCGAAAGGACTTTTGCAGTCTTTCCAATCTAGAGATATAATTCTTAACAGTTTGATGAAACTTAAAAATAGTGGGCGCATAAATGGATTGCATGTAAGATTCATCGAAGTATTCCATATAAAGTTGATATATTTATATTTATAATTAAATTTAATTTTGTTAATCAGGACCGCTTAGGTAGCCTTGGCGTCATAGACGATAAATACGATGTCGCGATTTCAACTGCATGCCCTGCATTGAACGATATTGTAGTTGATACCGTTGAAGTGGGACAAACTTGTATAGATTATCTTAGAAAAAATACTTTAGGTCGCGCGAAATTCATTCTTCTGGATAAGCTACCCGTCATGAATATGCATCCGATACCAACACCAGATAATGTTCCTCGTCTTTTTGATCTTGTTAGGCCGAAAGAAGATAGATTTGCGCCGGCATTTTATAGTGTATTACAAAATACCTTAGTGGCCGAAAATCTACAACAAGCAAATAAGATCGCGTTTGGTAAAACTCGATGGCGTGTGGTAACTTTAAATGGTCAATTGATTGACAAATCTGGTACTATGAGTGGCGGGGGTGGCAAAGTGATTAAAGGTGCTATGAATTCAAAGTTTTCTTCCGACGTAACACCTGAAACAGTAGAAAAGTTGGAACAAGAACGTAATCATTTAGAAGAACAATGGAAAAAATTTAATGAAGAATTTAGATCTCTAGAATCTCAACTTCAAGAAAAAAAGAATGAACTTCCTAGTTTGGAACTTGAGCTATCGAAATTGGAGATGGATTCTAATACTTGTGTGAAGCGTATTTCCGATACTGAGAAAAGAATATCTGATTTACGGTATGTTTTCAAGATTGATTTAATTAATTATTGATAATAATTTATTTTTCTTTTCCATTAAGGCAACAAAATAAGCCGAATGTAGAAGATGTCAGGCGTATGGAACAACTTCGAACGCAGATAGACTCCCTAACGCAAGAACTGGAGAGATTGAAAAGACAATCTTCTAAAATAGAAGAGGAGATTAAGAGTTTGCAAGATAAAATTTTAGAAGTTGGAGGAGATAGGCTTCGAGCTCAAAAGTCTAAAGTAGATCAAATTAAGGAGCAAATAGTTATAACAAATGAACGGATTACAAAATCACAAGTTGCGAAATCGAAAGCGGAAAAAGATATAACTAAGTTCGAAAATTCACTTTCAAAAAATAAAAAAGAACTAGAAGAATTGGATAATGAGATTAAGGAACTTACAGAAGAAATTCAACAAAATGCCGAAGCTGCTCATTCTATTCGTGCTAGAGCCGATGAAACTAAATCGGTATTTATTCAGATTAACAAGTTCTTATATGATTGATACTTATATATTACCTCTATTTAGATATTAGAAGATAAAAAAAGCGAGTTGGATGAAATCAAGGAGAAGCTTGATGAAAAAACCGAGATAATTAATAGGATTAGAGCTTTTGAGGTATGTACATCGTTTACTGTCTAGTTCTTCTCAAGAAAACAAAAAAAAAAGATATTTATAACAATTACATTATTCATATAGCTAGAAATTAAAAACAAGCTGGAAGATAGCGAACGTAGTTTGTTAGAACATAAAAATACAGAAGATAAATGGAAGAATGCTCTTTGTGATCTTTCACTTCATAACATTTCGTAAGGCTCGTCAATATAGTTAAATGATTTATTTTTATCATTTTAATCAACATTTTTAAATAGGGACGACGAAGAGCAAGATGAATTCCAACTTTATACTGATGATGAACTCGATGCAATGAGTGAAAATACTATACTAGGAGAGATTAACGTTCTTGAAGGTATTTAATATGTGCTTATGCGTATTTTTTTATTTCTATGAAGTTAGTAGTGAATAGGTTGATTATAACTTTTTCAATCAATTTTTTTTAAAAAAAACTAGAGAGAATAAAAAATGCCAATCCAAATCTGTCCGTCTTGAACGAGTATCGTAAGCGTGAAAAAGAGTACATGTTACGTGCAAAAGATCTTGAAGAAATTACGACCAAATGCGATGAATGTAAAAATGAATACGACAGCTTAAGAAAACAAAGATTAGAAGAATTCATGCAAGGATTCACTATAATTTCACAAAAACTCAAAGAAATGTACCAGGTATTTATCTGCTATTAGATTATGTATTAATTAAGTCGATTAGAAAGTTCTAATTTACCTAGTTAGGTTATTTATTTATGAAGTAACACAGTAATATTTTCATTGCATAAACCTAATTAATATTTTTTTATTTAAATATTTATGTTGTTGCTATAGATGATTACGCTTGGGGGAAATGCTGAGCTCGAATGCTGTGACAGTTTAGATCCTTTTTCCGAAGGTATTATTTTTAGTGTCATGCCTCCAAAGAAAAGCTGGAAAAATATCTCTAATTTGTCTGGCGGAGAAAAGGTATTTCTTACATTATATGTCAATGGTTATTAAATGTGATTTAACCATATTATCAATATCAATATAGACGCTTAGTTCTTTAGCTTTGGTATTTGCTCTACATCATTATAAGCCTACACCCTTATATGTTATGGACGAGATTGATGCAGCTTTGGATTTTCGTAATGTATCAATCGTCGCTAATTATATCAAAGAACGCACCAAAAATGCACAATTTGTTGTTATTAGTTTGCGCAATAACATGTTTGAATTAGCGGATCGTTTAATAGGGATTTATAAAACTTATGATAAGGTAAGATTATTTTATACGCGTCAAATAATAATTTTTAACGAATATTTATTCATTTAAATATTTTATGTTTATAATGACACTTTAGACAAAATCTATTACTATTAATCCACATGAAATTGAAGCGCAATCGTTTTTAGAAAGTTAACATCCATCTTTATATTCCTTATATTTTGCTTATTGGAACAAAGCCGTTGGATTATTCATTGTTGTTTAATTACTCGAATCTACGTATGATAATCAATTTATCATTGTAGACGTTTCACTAATGTCAATGGATTAAACATTGTTTCTTCATTCTCATTTTTCTCGTCAATCGGAATCACAATATAGATTATATAGATTACTATAATTTGTTAATGTTTAATATAGCAAATGTGATAAAAAGTATTGTACAATCACTAAAAACTGTTCTGCTTAAATATTAATCTTTGTAATAGTTTTCGAATTAAATTTGAATTAAACAAAGTATTATTCAAGAGTTAACCAAATAAAAGTTAGCAAGTCTTGGGAAACAAGTAACGAGACACTATTCTTAATTAATCGCGTATTGTATTGGTAGTACCGTTACAGCGTGAAATACATTCGCGCACCGCGCATGCATGTAGAAAAATAAAGATATAGTACGTTAGGGTTACAAATAATACAGGATTTGCACAAATGCGCAGCTTTGTTGATAAAAAAATTCCGCGCATTTTCTACATCGGATATGCAAGATAATAATTGTTGTTGATCTTGTACTACAAGATAACGAATTAGTGGAAAAATTTTTTCGGAAAAAGATTTCAGACTTCTTTATCACCTCGAGTTTTTTTTTTTGATTAAAATATACTATTTATTTGTTTAGTTACACTTTTTGTTTATTATCAACAGAAATGGGAAAAGTTGGAAGGTCAAGGACTCATAAGGGTTTGTTTAAAAGATCTTTTATTTTTTAATTGTAAATGAACATTCTTATTTTCTTCCAGCAGTCATTTATTATCTTTCTTGTTCTATCAATTTTATAATCTATCTGAATTTTTCAATTTTATTTACAAATAAATAATTTATTTCAGGTAATAGAGACAAATATAGAAAATATCGAACAAGAAACTATGCTAAAGATCTTGATCAAGTTCATGAAGATATAAAAAAAGTTACAGAAAATGGAGGAGATGAAACAATTTTGAAAATACAAGAATGGAACGAAGATTTACCGGGATTAGGACAATATTATTGTATACCTTGCGCGTAAATATATATATATATTTTTTACCTTTATCGACAAGTGATTTTTATCTATTCATGTTTTTCAATTTGGAGTGTAACTTTTAAATATTTATATAGTCGATATTTTATTAATTCTGAAGCTCTTAATGAGCATCAACGTGGCAAGAATCATAAAAAACGGTAAGGTTTTAAAAATCCAAATATCTATAAATACGATTCGATTTTTAAAATTTTCGTCATAATTTTTTTGAAATCATACAGGGTTAAACTACTTAAGGAAGTTCCTTACACACAGGCAGAAGCGGAGGCAGCAGTCGGATATTCAACAGAAAATTCAAGAGGAAATGCTATCATAAATAATTAATCAAATATATTCATTGAAAAATTGGGCTATATTATTAATAAACTGGAAAAAAAAGCCATTCCTGAATGTAATGTCACACATCAGTGGGAGAGTCCAAGATTAGTTAGAATAAAACGTGCGTCAAATTTATATAATATAAACAATAAACCAAATTAGAAGGGACTCGCATGTGGTAGTGATGTGGAGGAAATAATTTTTACTCGTTTTTAAAAAAAAAACTTCTTTATTTGGATTTATTTAAGCATGCATGTTTGAAAATTTTTTGTGATACCATATAACTTTGCATTATCTGAAATTCTCAAAATAAATTAATTCAAGTTTGAAGTAGAACAGCATGTAGATCAAAAAAGATTACGGAGAAAAAAGTGATAATGCTTCGTAATCGTATCACAACATTTAAAAGTTTTTTTTTTTAGTTCCGAACTTTGTACTAAGCTAAACTGACATTAGAGGAAGTTGACTCTTAAATGATGTGCTCAGGAAAAACGATACAATTCGGTATTATTGCGTAATTGGCGGCTTCGTTAAGCTTTATACCTATGGGCTATAATAAGGAAATTTTTTAAGTTTGATTTGAAAAAAATATTGACAGGTTGAAAAAAAAAATTTTTTTTTAGTTGGGTTTTTGTGAATGGTGGTGTAATCAAATGAAGGATCACCACTAACTAAAATTATCCGCTCAAATGTAAATCAATATGATATGTGGGAAATTTCAAGTAAGGGAAAGAAAGATCTACTTAGAACCTTGATAAATGCACCCCGGGACTGTGTACAAAAAATGATAATGAACCAATGAATCCATCAGATCCATTGTAAAATTACATTATCTGACGATATATCAGATGTTAAGTTTTTTGATTTTTTTGATTTAAAAAAAAAAAAGGAATGTGATTATAATTAGGTTGATACTTCTTTAAATAGATCAATTAGTCTTAGCATTCATTCATTAAAAAAATAGGTTTAAAAATATCTGTCAATATTTAAAAAAAAATATTTTTTAAAAAAAAAATTCTATTTTCATATTTTTTTTTTTCATTTAAAAAAAATTTTTAATTTTGAAACCTTTTTCCAGCTATTATACTTCCCGATTAGTATAAGATATACCGATAATATCGTTAATATACGGAGGTACGCGTTATAGATTTCGCCGTTTCACATGCAACAGATACCGATTTTAATGAATATTCATAGGATTGACAGGATTTGAAACCTGTATTTTATGATAAAACCTTTTTATTTATTCATTAGGAATGATTGTAATACGAAAAATATGTGGGGCGTAATGCAACAAAAAATCCAAGATTACACAAAAAATCAATAGAGTACCGAAATTGTACTACTTGTACTGAAAGTAAAAATTAATAAAACCATAAGAATAAAATAAGGATAAAATAAGCCATAAGGATAAAATCAGTAAGAATCTAGAAATTTCTTTTAATCAAGAACTTTGCTATTTGCGAAGTTGACAATTTGTGAATTAATTAAGTTTCATATATATAATGTTCTTTATTTGAAAATTGCCTACAATTTTATATATATTTTTTTAAAATATTAATATGATAAAACAGATAAAATAATATAGTATATAGACTTAAAATATAATGGGTTATAATACTTTGAATAAAATACAAATTGCATAATTTAGTAATGATGTTTATATTATAATGGCTAAATATTTATTATTAAATTTTAAATAATAAGATTGGTAGTACTGTATTATATTAAATAATAGTAAATCATCAATAACAATAATATTTATGTTTCCAATATTATTAAAGTAAATTATAAATTATATATTAAAAAATGCACTAAATTTTTTAAAAGTAATTTAACAATTATACAAGTTAAATATAAGTATTTTTAAAAAATTTTTAAATAATTTTAACTTAAATTAATCTAAACCAATTAAATAATAGTATATTTACTTTTTTCTTTTATTTTTAAAAATAGTTTTTAAACAATACCTGAATAGTGTGAATAGTGAATTTAATTGAATAAAATTGGATCAAAAAAATTATCATATTGTTTATATTTCAGTCAATTAGAAATCCTCACTTACTAATTTTTTTTTAAAAAATTTATATAATTTTAGCTAAAACTATAAATCTGATCCTTTTAATTAGTATTCTATGCAAAAAAAATTTCATCAGTATTACCGAAAAAATTATTTCATCATTATTACCGAAAGAAAACATGTTTAATTTACTAGTAATAATATAATCAGAATCATCGAGAATCATCGAATGCTATTAGAACTATCAAAATTATCCGTTTCCGTTTCACAAGCACAATGCAGAGGGTGACATTTATTATATTCGTAATTTATATTCGTAATTTATATTCTGTACTCGTTTACAATACAGTAATATTAAAACCTTTGTAATTTTGTGTAAACAAAGTTCATCTTTGTTGCAGTACATTTCATGTGAGGTTGCTTTGTTTCTGTACGCATTTTTTTGATAAACCGTCGTTAATTCTAATCTCATTCTCGTCAAAGTTCGGGAATGTCATGTATGTATGTAATGTAATCTATATTTCCGAAATATATCACTATACAACAAACATAACGTTTAATATTTTATTTTTTTATTTTTTTTTAAAAAAAAAGTGTAGAATCAATCCATCGAATGCAAAAAATAGGTTTGTGCAAAAAAATCCCCATTTTTTTTACATTTTTTTTTTCATGTGATCCGAAGCTCCTTAAATCTTTATTTATAATTGCATTTTTGAAACACTTTTTTTCCAAAAATAGTTCTTTGTTTTTAGAATGATTTAATTCAAGATAACGATCTGATCAAAAATGATACAAAAAATTCCCGTTTTAGACAATACCTGAAAGTTAATAAGAATTGGCCGATTAGTTTGTTCAAAAGCTCAAGTTCAAGGAAAGTGCCGAATATGCATAAAAAAAAGCTAATCGATAGGTTAATAAAAAAAACCCCCTTTCATAATAAAATTGGGGAGTTCGGGACAATGATTATTTATTTTAACTTTTAGTTTATCGGATTCCGTCATACTTCTATCATCCAATAACGTCATATTTTATAGATATTTTTCTCCGAAATGTGTTACTTGTAAGTGAGTCAGTCATTAGAAAAATAAAATAACATATGATCATTATTTTAAAATTTCAATTGCTGTGTATATTTATTTTGGAAGTTACCTCAACATGCATTTTTTTTCCGCACTAACCATTATGCGCGTTAGATTTTTTTTCTCACCCATCCGTTTTTTTTTTTCGAACTATAAAAACCCTTAATGAAATTTAAAAAAAAAAAAAAAATAACCGAAATTTTTTTTTTTCAAGAAAAAAAAAGAAAAATAAAAGGATAAAATCAATTAAAATTAATAAAATAAATCACATTTGTAAAAATTATTTTTTGTTATTAAATAAAATTATTTAAAAGATATTAGTCTATATTTCGATAATTTTTTTTTTCATTTTACAAGAAAAAAAATATCTCATTTTTTTTGTTAAATACATATTAAAAATAATGGCAATCCTCGAATATCAAAATAATTTAAGTAGAATGAACATGGAAAACTTACGAAACTTTGTTTTATTTCGATACTTTCTTATACCTTTCGCTATCTTTTTAACTGTGGTATGTCTCCTTGTTTTGCGCATTTCACACTTTTTGACTTCTTAATTCGTTTCTATAGTCGGGGTTTTCACGTTCTACCATACTAAATAATGTTTTATTTATATTGAATGAATAAATTATTTAGGTTCCCGCGGGAATTCTTTCTCTTACGCAACAATATCAACAAAATCAAAACGTCGTGACTTTTACAACGATTATATCACAAGAAATTCCTCAAGAAAAATTTACTAATGGAATCACTTTTGGCAGTGGAGTCATATTAATCCCAAGTTTAACATTAAGTGGTAACTTTGTATGCGTGATATGTGCATGGATCATCGCTTTAATTGGAATTTTCGGTTTCTTAAGAAAGAATAATTTATTCGGCCAATTTGTAAGTATCCCTTTTAATTTTATAATTTCCATAAATGGAAATTCGATTTTATGATGTCATAATATTAATTCCCTGACCTCATGATCAAATCCATTTACTTGATTTAGATTTCTATACTTTTAATTACATTCACAATATTACAAACAATTTCCGCCATTTACACTGTGATATTTAACGATCAGTGGATCTTTGAAATTTTAAGTGGTTCATGGCAAAAGGCTTATTTACTTGATCCTGAATTAATAAAAGAGATTCAATATGAGGTATGTAAAACATATTTAAATAAATGTTTGTTGATATAAATAGTTGATATAAATATTATATAATATATGTTTATATTATTAACAAAATTAATAAAAATATTTATTAGTTTTCGTGTAAGGGATTTGTTTCAGTTGATGATCGACCAGCAAATATACCTCATCAATTTGATGAGAGTTGTAGTAAAATGTTGATTAATCGATTTAGTACACAATTATTTGATGTGGCTAAAATCATATTATTAGCGAGATTTGTTCAGGTAAATACTTAAAATTTAACGTGTCGTTAATTAATATTCTTTATGCTCATTATGCTCATTATGTAAATTTTATTGTATAGTTATTTGGTGTATTGATACACACTCATATATTCAATCGCGTTATACTGCAAGACATTACGATGATGTACTCTGAAGAATGCGACACAGAATATTTTTATGACGACAAAGATAATTATAATGACGATTCTTTAGATGATTTGGAAGATGACGACGATCAAAATACTTGGATAGATCCTCCAACATCTCCGTTATTGTTATCAAAGATATACTTTGGTGAGCAAGCGTCTTAGAAATTTGGACTTATCATATTCATTTACTTGACTGAAATTGAAAAGTAAACGTAAATGAATTTATCATTTCGGATTAATCAAGGGACTTTTTAGATAATTTTTTCTCACTACACTCTACCTATTTTGACATTAATAACACCCATTTATTTCATGGATTTTAAAAACATTAACAATAGACATTTGGTGCTTTTAAAACCTAATTCACATTTACATATATTACTTCATAAATCTTTGGAAAATTAATAAATAATTTATTCCCCCTCCCCCTTATTTTTTCCTTTTTTTTAAAACTCTTCTATTTATATAATTCTCCCTTTTTCCTGTTAGTTTTTCTTTTATTTAGTTTCCCTTTCCCTATTTTGTAAATATTAATTTGTAAAAAGATTAAAAATTTTGTCTATAGGTAGAATTGATAACAAGTATATATTTCAAATACTGTTATATATTGTAAAAAGGTTTGATAGATATACTTATAACTATTCTTTTTCTCTTCTTTATTTCTGTACATTTTAATGTATTCTAGTTTTATTTGTAATTTTTTTGTCTCTTCTTTGTTTATATTTTTTTTTTTTTTTCGTAAATTTTTATTTCGAGTCCTAAATTAGTTTAAATAAAATAAAATGCCTTTGATAGGAATTTTTTTTATAAAATATTTGACTACAAAGTTTCTTACCAGGATTGGTTATAAATTCAATGACGGAATATAAAGTTTTTTGTGTTTATCTCTTACGGCAGAAATCACGCGAAATCAAAAATTGCGTATTATATAAAAGTAAATTTATTTTATTATATTAGTAAACGCGTGTTTATATCGGTATAATCGGTATATCGCTACATTTTTTTTCGTGTATTCGTTCGTGTAATTATGTCGTGTATTTCGTGTATTCGTGTATAATGTAGATTAAAGATTTACAATAAACAAAGTATTTTTTGGAAAGGACCCGATTGCTAACTACATTTCGCATGCATATCATTAAGTTAGAAGCAATGTATTTCAAGATTTAGATTGATATATCTCGTCTATTAAATGTCTTCCGTAACTCAAAAATTTGTGTTACTAAGAGATATTATGTAATTATCTGTTGAAAAAGTGACTTTTAAAATAGTGTTGAATTTATAAATTAATAAAAACCAATCTATTCATAAATATCTCATCTATGATTAATTGGTTGGTATTTAGACCATTTAAACAGGACTCTAAAAATCTAACATATAGGTTATAAAGCACTTTTGACTTTTAGCCAAAACCACCCTTTTTTGCTAAAACTTGAAAAATTGTTTTTTTACAATTTTCTTAGCATCTGGCAGTCTACATTTTTTAAATTATAAAGCTTAATAAGAACTACAAAATAAAAAAATGTCCGTCAAAATTAGATCACTAAATGCTGAAAAAATTGCATACCCTAATTTTAATTTTTTTTTAAAAAAAAATAAATTTCAATTATAAATATAACAATTTAGTAATAAAATAATTTGATCAGTATACTAAATTATAAGAAATATTAATATAGATCAATATAATTTAAAATCAAATTTAACAAATTTATTATTTAGTTTTATTATTATATTATTTTATAAGTTGTATTATTTGTATAAAAGCCATATTTTTATAAGTTGTAAATTTAAATATGATTTCTTTTTATTTGCAAAATCTAATTTTAAATTAATAAATCTATAAAAATATAAAATATTATATATATTTATTTTAAAATATCAATATACAGTTAGGTTTCCATATAGTCACTTTTTATATAGTTACAACTTTTTATAAGTACTTGTTTTTTTCAAAATGAATTTTTATAATAAATTATAATTAGTACTTATATATAGATAAACTAGTTGTAAAAGTTACTTATTGGTCATTTAAAATTTTCAAAAGTTGCTTATTTCAGAAGTATTTTTCAAATTTTCTTATCTTATATACTTCTGTTTTTAAATAATTTACTGATTGGATTTTAAAAATTTTATATTATTGGATTAGTTTCAATGAGAGAAATCTAATAAGTAAAATTAAATTTTTAATATTAATATAAGTCAAGTTATTATAAATTAAAAATTTAACTATATATATTATTTATTAAATTAGATGCAGATGTTTAGGATCCTTTTATAATTACCTATAAATTATAATTTTAGCCATATATTATAATTTTAATGAAATTACAAACAGAAGGATTGATTATATTTCTATCTGCTAATCACTTGACCATTTTTCCAGTAGAAGTTGCTAAAGAAAAAACTTCACTTGAATAATTGTAAAATGCTTTTAGAAAGTATTTTTGACTTTCCAAAGATTCTTTCAAGACTCAAATGGACCTTTACCTTGAAGTTTTGATGGAGTTACAAAACTATAGAATAGTTCTTACCAAAAATAATTTTACTCCTGCAAAACTTTTTTTCTATTGAGTTCCTGAAAGTCGTAATAATTACGTATTAGTAGTTAAGCTTTGAACTCTATACTAGTGTAAAGTTTCTTTATTAGTTTCTTTATTTTTGAAAGTGTTACAATAGTTTTTTCTTAAAGTATATGTTGAAGTAGAAGTAGTCAATTAGAAAGCGAGCTTTTTCTTTATTATTAGTTAACATTTGAGGTATTGAAGTGATAAATGAAGGTTTGATGTTTATTACCTTCTTTACTCAGTTTTTTTTTTTGGAATTTTCTGAAGTTATAACTTTCTTTTTTATAAATTATATATTTTAAAACCTACTTTTTTTTAAATAAATACCTAAAATTTGCAGATTAATAACTTTTGATTTAAAATTCTAGATAACTATCGGACTTACATGTCTAATTTACGTCTGATTTAGAAAATCTAAAATGGAAGATTGATATAACGATCATGTCAATAAATTCTGACCTAAATCAGAAACAGTATTTATATGTTTTTTCTGAGCTACTGCACCACAAAATGATAGTTTTAAAGCAAGAAAGGTAACAACAGACAATTTTACAATTATGAAGTAAGGATATATATAAAAAAACTGAAATTCACAAAATTACAAACATTCTCCTTTCCACTATATATGATAATATTAAAAAGTTAAGTAAGGATAAGACAGTGAGTCAAAATAAAGGAAGTGGTCGTCCAAAGAAAATTACTGGCAATTTTTCCAAGTCCCTTGGGCAAAGTATCTGAAGAGATACATCAGTTTCAATTAGGATCCTGGCCAAAAAATTAGGCCAGATGAGCTTTGAAGTATCTTATGTGATAGTTTTAAAATATTTAGTCACCTATAGATATAAAAAATCCCTTCCAAGGGTAACTCTAATGCTTACTGCTGTACACAAACAAAAACGTATTGAATGGGTACAAAAGCATATCAATAATGATTGGAGCAAGACCCTATTTTTGGATGAAATAGCCTTCCAATTCTTCTGGAATACTGTGAAATGCTGGCATAAAAAAATTCAGCCAGTACACCTTATACCAAAAGACAAAACAAAAATTTTTGCATAGGGCAGATTTTATGTAATGGGCAAAATAAGTTTTGTTGAATAATGGATGCCAAATTTTATGTTGAAATCATTGAAAATCATATTCCAGAGATACACAATGCTTGGAGATGATTGGAGACTTCAGCAAGACAATAACCTGAAGCACACAAGCTATCTTGCTAAAGAATTCCTCAAAAACAATATCCCAGAAGTTATAGACTGGCCTTCAAATAGTCCTGACTTAAATCCAATAGAAAATTTATGGGTCATTGTTAAGGGAAATATGGAACGCCAAATGCCAAAAAATCTTAATGAATTAGAGAGATTTATGGAAAAGAAATGGTCAGTAATTCCAGAAATCATGATAAAGAATCTAGCCAGTTCAATAAAATGACGTTGTGAGCTCATTATTAAAAATAATGGAGAGCAAATCTCCTATTAAATTATATTAGGACCCCGGATATCTAATATAAAGGTCATAATGGACTTTTGGCCAAAAACACCCCTTTTTGCTTAAACTCAAAAAATCGTTTTTTGTAAATATCTCAGCATCCAGTAATTCAATTTTAATGAACATTTTTTTATTTTGTAGCCCTCATTTAGCTCTACAATTTAAAAAAAGTTCATCAAAATTGGACCACTGGATGCCGAGATATTTACAAAAAACGATTTTTTGAACCCCTGAAAAATGGGCCAATCTGCCGAAAGTGTGACTTATGACCTGTTTTGGAGATATCCGGGGTCCTATTATATTATCAAAAAGAACTGGTTTTTAGCTCTCAAATAAAAAAAAATTTCATATATTTTTATATTTTCAACGTAAAGATATTGCTATTTATTTTATTCCAGTTTTTTTTGTAATATACTGTAATACTATATTTTTAGTTAAGGTTTTTAGTTTACTTAATAATAGATTTGTTTTAATTTTACATCAAATTTTCTTATTACTAAATTTTTACTTATATACATACTATTTAATATATTTTATTATAAATAATTTTTCACAAGTATATTATTATTTTTTATTTTTTCCTATTACTTATATTTATCTTAGTGAATAACTATATTATTATATTATATAAATTAAGTAAATATAAAATAAAAAAATTAAAAATTTAAAATATATTAAGCATATTAAGAATTAATAAATATATTATAAATTTAAAAAAATTTTAAATTTCATATATTTTTTAATTAGTAGATGTTTAATTATTAAAAAACTAATTTAAGTAATTATCTACTATTTTATAAAAAATTTTACTTTCGTTTAAATTAAAGTATTTATAGTAACATACTCTTTAAAATTTAGAATTTATATTATATTTAATTATTTTAGTTAATCATTTAAATAAGTAGTTTTAATTCTGCTAAATAACTTTCAATTAATAAAGAAAATTGATTTATTTGACCAATATAGTAAATTAAAATTATGCTTTAAAATTAATAAATAAAAAAAATAAAATATTTGAATGTTAAAAAATACTTATTTCTTCATAAGTATTTTTGTAAAATTAATATATAAATAGTTTTGATTTACTGAATAATTTTTAATTACTATATAGTTTCAAAATTAAATAACTTGTTTCTGAAAATAAGTAATTTTCCAATTATTAAAAATAAGTAATTTATAAACTTTTATAATAAAAAATTAATAAACATAATAAAAAATATTTAAAATTCCTCTATATAATCACACCTTTGGGAAATACCAATATATATAATTACTATATAAAAATACCTTTGTATAATCACATTATAGTAAAAGCCTCTATATAGTCACTGATTTTTGTGAAACCAATTAGGTGACTATATAAAGGTCTGACTGTAGTACTATTATATTTTTTTTTTTTTGCAATATATTATTATATAGTAAGTTTTAACTAAAATATAGAAAACAAAAATATATACAGTCAACTCCCTCTATAGTCACTCCCGTTATAGTCACATTCTACTATATAGTCACACCAGTTGAATGTTCAAAACACTTTATTATTAAAATCTATCCTATATAGTCACAATCTATCTATAGTCACTATCACACCTATCCTCAAAAATCTTATATTAAAAAGAACCATTTATAATCACAGTTATATAAAGAATATATTAAATAACTTGGCATCTAATAATCGTACAAAGATGTATCATAGCTTGTTAGAATCGTCTCACTGAGATGAATCGAATGGTGGTAGTTTTATCCTTTTGCGATCACTGGCTGATGAGTTATTCAACAAAATGTTAAGCATCGGCA